AGAGAGAGAGAGAAACATCAATCAGTTGCCTCTCGTATGCACCCCGACTGAGGATCAAACCTGCAACTTAGGCATTTGCCCTGACCAGGAATGGAACCCACAGCCTTTTGGTCCACAGTATTATGCTCCAACCAACTGAGCAACCCAGCCAAGGCTCATTTCAATTTTTTAATATCACCCATATATGTTCTGCAAGGTGTTGATTTCCATAGGCTGTAGGCAAAATTCCCATGTTCCTTGCTATAGCCCATCTGGCCCTTTGTAAAACTCTCTTCCTGGCCTTCAAAAACCATACGCATAAGAAGGGGTTACAGTAAACTCTTTACACATGTAAAATGGGCTTAAACATCATTCTCTTATTTCTGTGCTTGGGAGAAAAGTTATGAAACAAAAGAGAGACTACATCCATGAGTCTTTTGTATCTTCACACTCACTCTGAGAAAGTGCGGTCCATAAACCAGGTCGTTATGTTAATGGCAAATGGCAACAGATGTTAGACCTCAGCCCTTGAGTTCTGGCTAAGAAAGAATTTAGAGCCAAAACTCAGAAACAAGCAAAAGTGTACTTAGAAAGTTATAGAGGTAGAAGAAGTGAGGCATAGAACAGAGCCGGCTGGGCTGTGTGGACTCAGGAAACAAGTTAAAATGGCTAAAGAAGGGTAGAATCTGGATAGAGTATTCATTAGCTTTCCAAATGTGTTCTCTTAGGGTCATGGTCTCCGGTAATTGGTCCAGGGAAGGGGGTCATTAGTCATCACAGCTGGTCCTGAAGTCAGCCATGACGTTGCCCTGCTTGGCCCTGCTGTTCTGGGCCCGGGGCTGAAACACAACTGAAGTCTAGATGTTCTGTCTAGTCTGACCAAACCTCTGTCTCTGTAGTCAACAAGCCTGAGGCTTCATTCATAAGATTATTTGATGCAGGTTAGAAATTCATGGTCCTTAGGGCTTGTGGCTTTAGGGAGTGCTTGTGCATGTCCTTAAGATGGGGGTCATAAGAAGCGATTCCCTGGTCCCCTTATTTCTCTTTCAAGGACTGTACCCATATGACTGTACCCATATGACCATATGACTAGCAACATGTCAGCAGAGGAAAAGTCATGGGAGGGCCCAAGCCACAGGACCATGTGATATGAAAGGTCAGGGGGGTCTAAACCACATAGATGTATGAAAGATCAGGGATTCAAACTGCATGACCAGCAATATGCTAGAGGAGGAAATGTCACCCCAAGAGAGAGGCCCGCCTACTGATATTTGCCCTCCCAGTTTTGCCCGTTGCTAGGCACCCAGGGCTTTCTACCCTGTGACCTTCTATACCTGGTCTATTGTTTCTACTCTGCTCATGTCTGCCTAAATGCCTATTGTGTCACTTACAAAGTTTTGTAAGCTACACAGCACTGTGAATATAAAAATGTGTTTTCTTTTTAATACAATTGAATGTATTATTCCAAGGTTTGAGAAAGAAAGTCAAGGTCATCTCTCTGCTCTTCTCTTCTGAGAGAAGAGTTAGCTCTTCTTTCCTTTTTGTTGGTTCTAGATACAGAGCTTGTTCCTGTGTCTGCGTCCTGAGAAACAGTGAGATCCTTCAGGGCCAAGATCTTGTGTTTATGTTGGTGTTTTGTTTTGTTCTGTTTTGTATTGTTTTTGTATCCTTAATGCCCAGCAGAGAACCTAAAACAGCATAACTGCTTAAAAAAAGGAAGAAGGATGGGTGGGTGGATGGATGGATGGATGGATGGATGGATGGATGGGTGGGTGGATAGATGGATGGAGAAAGTGGCCCAAGGAATGAGGTGATGTTTCTGCTTCTTATCTCACCTAAACCTCTGTCTCTAACAGCAGAATTAGCCTAAGGATTCAAATTAACAGCAAGAAGCAATGAGAATTTTCTTGTGGATCACACAGAAAACAGAGAGCTAAGCTAATTGTTCATTCCGGCTCAGAGTTCAGTTGCAAATTCTCTCTCACCTCTGAAGTCTGTGTGGTTCACGAAAACAACACACCTGGAGACAAGCTGCTGGAAAGTAAACTTTCATGTAAATAAATGTATGTGTGTGTAAGAGAGAGAGACAGTTGCCATGAATCTTTATGGCTTTAAGACATTCAGCTTTTAGGAGGCATCCAACTTATGATATATTTTCATTCAAATTGCCAGAGATCACAAGCCTTTCATTCCAACATAACTGGGGCCTAGCTGTCAATGCCATGTGGCACCAAGGCTGAGAAAAGAGAAAAAGCAAAGCCTCCAGGGTCTGGAAGTACTTTCCATGCCAAAACAGGGAGAACAGTAAATGTTGCAGTGCCACCCAGAGGGTGGGAAGGTGCTCCAAGCCTGCTATACCCTCAAGATCCCACAACAGGAGCAAGCTGGCAGGCTTCGTGTTTGGAGCCAGTTTAGGGGTTATTTTCCTGAATAAAGTAACTCAATTGCTCAAAAGTAACAAGTGTTGCCCCTAGAAAGAAAGCAGGAGCAGCAGTTTTAACAAAGCAGCCCAGGGGAGGAAATGGACGTGCAAAGCATTTTTTTCTGTCCCAAATTACTTCAAAGCTTTGTGCAGACTCATCTAGAAATATGGATGGGTTATGACACGTGGCATTTCTGTTGAAAGCAGCAGTGAGGAAAGGAGCAGGGGAGGAGACTCTACTTCCTCACCTGGAGACCAGAGGGGACTCAGGGAAGACAGGAGAGAGGGCGCAGCTGCGTGACCCACTTCTTCCCTACACCGCCCACGCCCCACCTGCAGAGGGCAGCCAGCGCCCGGGACCAAGGCTGCATCTTCCTGCTGTGAAATGGTTCCTCAGTTAGGAGGAACTGGTTTCCATTTGCCCAAGGGGTAGGCTCTGAAACTGGGGCTTTGGCCCAGAGACACATTTAGAAGCTTCACAACATCTAGGGAGTGAGTCACGCCAAAACAGAACAGGCTAAACAGAGAGAGGGAAAAGGGACTGTACCCAGCACTTCCCTTCCCTGAGATACAAGCAGGCTCTGTGAGCCACACAGCACTTTCAGGGCTTTTAAAGTCTAGTTTATCTAAGAAAGTAGCTGCAACCTATGTTCTTGTTCAAAAATGAGGCTGGTCCAAAAAACTAAAAGGGGGGCGGCAATCAGCACCTGTTGTGAAATACAAAACCTTTTAACCCAGAATATGACTTTGTAGCCAATAGGAAGCTGAAACGTATTCTTAAACAGAATCCAGTTTATAACTATCACACAGACATGTCTCTTTTTTTAGACATTTCTGCCCTTTGTCCCTCCTCTGTACATTGAATTTTTATTATGAAAAAACCACCAAAACACATGGAGAATGACACCCATGTATCTGTCCACCACTCACCGTGAATAAATAGCATTCTTCATATTTACTTCATATCTTTTTCTAAGAAATGAAATATCAAAGAGAAATGAAGTCCCTTGTGTTCCTTTTCCAAGTCACAGGTCCCCTTCTCACCCAGAGGTAAGCATAGCACGACGCTGGCATGTAGATTCCATGATTTTATACACTTACTACACACATAGGTATCCTCAGACACCCACACTGCTTTTTCAGTTTATACAAATAGTTTTGTGTTGTACATAAATAGGTTGACAACCTTTTTATCTGCTGTTATAATTTTTAGATATATTATTCTAAAGTACAGTCACAGAGTCAGTGTTAAACACATAACTCTGATTCTTCTTAACTTTTGTAGCACAGAGGAATTATACAAATATCTTCTACAACCTCTCCCCTACTGCTGGGGTCTTTTGCTTTTACAAAATTGCTGCACTAAACATCTACATATCCTAATGATATGTCTGAGAGTTTCTTTAAGGTATGTTAGTCAAAGTAGAAGCACTGGGCACAGGTTCCATGACCTTTTAGTGGCCCTAGATGTCATCTAATAGCTCTCCAAAATACACAAATGAACTTATACCCCATTAGCAAGCTGTGAGTTCCCGTGTGCCTATTTGACCCATCAACATTAAGAAAATGTCAGACCTTTTAATATTTGTCAAGCTGATGGTATCGTTTTGCTGAATTAGATATTCACTAATTTGCATTTCCCTGGTCATGACCAACCATCCTTTCCTGTCAGGGGACATTTGAGGTTTCCCCCTTTTGTAAATTTCATCTTCATAGTCTTTGCCTGTTTTCTTTTCCTATTGGGTTAGTAATCTTTTTATTATTTATAAATGATCTTTATTTATCTTGATTACCAATCATTTATCTATGTTGCAAATGTCTTCTCTAAATTTGTTGGCTGCCCATTGAGTTTTAAAACAGAAACTGAGAGGAGTCCTCCTCCTCCTGAAATAGGGTACTGTCCCAAAGTCAGGAAGGAGTCCTTTACACAGCTTACAAACACCAACAAAACCATAGTCTAGCCATAACCATTTAACTTTTACATTTGGGGAGTATTTTAAATTTTTCAGGGCATCTTCTGATCACCTAGAGGCTCACAGGGCCTCATTTCTCATCTCTAAGATTCAGTGGTTAATCATAAACATCCTTTTAATGATCAAAGTCTGACCTTCTATCCCTTTTCTGCAGGTGGGGAGACCCAGGCACAGAGGAGTGGAAAAACTTGTCCAGTCACACATCTAAAGGATACAGGCAGGTAATTTGTCTATTACAGCTCACTAAAGCTGGGGGTGGAGGGAGTTACAGACTGGAAGGAGGCCTAAAATCTTAGTCACCTGATCATTTGGGCAGTGCCTCTCCACTGCAGCAGGAGACAAGGAAGGAGACAGGAAGATGGGAGTCAGACAGGCACAGCTCTGTAACTAACTTCCAAAGTAGGGGGAAGATGACAGTGGCCCCTCTGGACTCACACAGGATGAAGCCCATCCAGAGTTTCTGCTCCCAACAAGAAAAGAGCCATGTGAACACAAGGATGGACTCTATTCAACACCTTTTATTGCTCAATGAGTATGGGACTAGGCCTCTGTGCACCCACTTATGGAAGTGCTACCAGCTCATTGCTAGAGGCAAGTCTATGTTAAAAAGATGAAAGGACAGAACCCAATGCTTTCTTTTTTATTATTGTTATTAGTACAGTCAGAAACACTTATTTACCCAGAACTATTTAAGACAGTAACCAAATGGGAGTGCCTTGTCTTTCAGCATAGAATGATATAATCATGGCTGGAACAGTGAGATGGAAAAAAAACTGCAACCGGCATGAAACTTTCCACCAGATTTGGGGCCCCAAATAACTGCACAGATCCTCTGGTTGGGTAGTGCGCTTGACATTCCCTTGGCCAATTCAGGCTCATTCTATTCCATATTGTCTAGAAGAATGTAGCAACGTCCACATTTCTGGGGTGTTCACAAGGGGTGCCTTCTCTGTTTCCCCAGAAACCATATATACCTGAGCTAATTATGCAACGTCCCCTAGCTTAACTCCCTGGTTTTTTGCTTTTTTAAAAATTATTATTATGATACAGAATCTTAGGCAGACAAATGCAGTCTGAATATTCTTAATAGTTCACTGCGTAGCTTATAATATGGAATTACTTGTTTCCATTACTATAGAAAGAGATCGCAAAATTCTTTCTTTCCCTCTCTGTGATAATGAGTCTGAATTTTATCCAGTTCAATGCACCGAGACAACGCCTTAAGCATAACAGATATTCCACAAGTATCTGCAGAATGCACGAATCAATGGTTGATAATACCCATTGGGTGCTGGCAACATCTATCAATTTCAGAGATTCAAGGAGTTAGCAAAATTTAGGGTAGGAAGGAATTCATCTGGCAACCATAGAAAGAAGAAAAATGATCTCCAAAGCATTTCCTAACAATCCTTCACTTTGGAAGTGACTGCTCATCTTGCTTTTTAACTCATTAAATAAACCTAAGTTACAGTCTATATCTGGCAACCATAGAAAGAAGAAAAATGATCTCCAAAGCATTTCCTAACAATCCTTCACTTTGGAAGTGACTGCTCATCTTGCTTTTTAATTCATTAAATAAACCTAAGTTACAGTCTATATATCTTCTAAAAGTTTTTTTATCCCTGACATAAACTTTTTAGGTTGAGACATAAAACTGAAGTAAAACTTTCTATGAAACACCGTGCTGCTTGTGGGGAATGAAGACCCTGAGCCTTCCTCCACAAGACCCATCCAAAGCCCCTGAGTGATGGGTACACCTGGGCACAGGTGGACCTTGGAAAGTACCCATCCTCAGCTCCAGAAGAAAGGCATCCAAATGGCAGGATATCACCAATGCAGCCATCCCAGGCCACGTAGTCAGGACCTTACCTCCCACGGCCCACCCTCTGTGGCACAGGGTCGCCTAATGCTGAATGAATCTGAGATGGCATCATGCTCCTGGATCTCCCAGGCATGTGGAAATCAACAGCAGTACCCTGGACCCCAGCCCTGCCTGGCCTTCCCCTGTACTCCCAGAAGAGTCTTTCCTGAGAGTCCTTCTGAGGAACATCAGTGAAAAGAGGACAAATGGACAGCTGGAAACTCCAGAGTTAGAGCAAAGTTCCAGGAAAGCAGGAACAGGGCCATGTCCCCCACAGAAGCTGAGGCAGCAGCGCCTTTCCAATGCCTTGGAAATATTCTCCAGGAGTCTGCAGAGAAGACAAAACAGGATGGCCAACAGACATCTATAGCAATTGAGGGTTTCAGACAAACAGCGCTGGGCTCAGCAAGGCCAGCTCCCGCCTGCCATGCCTGCAGCTCAGTTGTAGGACAGGTAATTGATGAGCCGGGAAGGGATGTTCAGCTTGGCGATTTTCTCCAGCCCTCTGACACCGGTGGCCCTTCTAAAGCTCACCCTGCAGAGCTGCAACAGGGTTAAAGGTGTCTCTGGAAAAGGAACAGGAAGCATATGAGGTTAGCTGAACCTAGCTGAACAGAGATTAACATCCTTCAACTTAAAAAATATCAAGCACTGGAAACACCTCCCTTTTCCTGGAAATAGGACATGCCCTGCAACCCTTCTCTGGAAGGCTACATGAAAGGACAGCCACAGCACAAGGAAGCAAGAGCAGGAAATGGCATTCCAGTGATGTGCAGAGGAATTTCATTTTGTGGGGCTTTTGTGGATTTATGCATGCGCGCGCGCACGTGTGTGTGTGTGTGTGTGTGTGTGTGTGTGTGTGTGTGAGTTTTGCCCCATAATTTTATAACCTAGCACAAGGATTTGTCAGCAATGCACTAATCTACAGCTAGTAGCCCTGTCTGTCAAACTTCCAGAAAAAATGAGGTACAGGGTGAGGGTTAGCCCGGGCTGGTGCTGGCTCCTAGCTCCTGCTGTTTCAGGCCACAGGCTCTGCTCTGGCTACCCAGTTAGTGCCTCAGGGCACAAAGGGGCCCCAACAGACGCAGGGGACAGCTCCAGCAGAGTATGCAATGTGCATCCTAATGCAGAGGGTCAGAACCTCAGGAGTTAAGACAAGCCTGGAGCTGTGGCTCAGGAATGTGAGCAAACTAGGGCCAGAGAAGGAAGGTGCCTGGAGGTACCGGGCAGCGGAGGCACGAGGACATTTGTAAAGCAGAGTCTGGCCGCAAGGACGTTTTTTAGAATGATCTGTGTTTGACAAAAATATAAATTATAACCAAAGAGAGTTTTCTCAATTCATCAACATTTTCTAAATAAGAAGTTCTTTGAAAGAAAAAAAATAAAAAGAATTACTGGTGAAATTCACTTTTCCATGCGATTTTTCTCCCCAAACTATTTGGAAAAGAAACATTGTCTCTCAGGAAACATTAACCAACAGATTTGGATGGAGTTTTCCTCTAAGTTCATAATGGATTTTGGTTGGGTTGGGCTGGCAAAAATTTGAATAGCTTTTTTTTTCAACTTGTAGGTGTTTTGAAAGCCTCTTGTGACTCTAATTCTATGTAAACTCATTAAAATATGTATACCCAAAGAAGATACCTCGTCCTTAGCCAGATTGTTTGTTTCCTGAAGAGTGAGGACTGGACCTATATTCTTAGCCTTGTATGGACTTCGTCTGAGATTATGTATTTACTCATAAATGATCTGATATTTTGTCAAAACAGAGCCTCTTGCATAAGTATCTCCTATGCAACTTTACAATGCATTGCATCATTCCAACAGTAAGGAGAGCCTGGCCTCACTTTCGTAGTGCTCAAAGCATTTGGCAGGGGCACTGCTACTCCACGTGTAGTCAGAGGGCTTCTTCCCCCGGTTGTCCCGTGCATAGATGTTGCCTCCAAACTCGATCAGCATCTCGATGAGGTCCACGTTCTTTACCTTGGCTGCATGATGAAGGGCTGTCTCATGAAGCTTTGCTGCATTCACATTGGCCCCTGCAGGTAAAGTGGAAACAAGTATCACCAAGGAGAGAGCTTGGTGCTGAGAGAAACGTCAGCTTTGACTTTTTCGTCCAGCCCAGTGTACAAAAGCCATCTCCATCCAGGAAACAAAATTAAGACAGACTCTGCTACAGTCTTTTCAAAATCTTTTTCAAAGTCCAAAAGCACTAATTACTTTTTTTCTTATAACAATAAAGTTAAAGACAGATAGCAATAATAAAGAAATGTAACTGGAAATAGAACCAAAAAAAAAAGAAAAAGAAAACTAAAACATCCCTGTGACTTATGAAACAGTTCTAATGTCCTATACAGTCTGTCCCCAAAGGTCCTGAGACTGGGTGCTCAGGTTGAGCTACTCAAGCTCTCCTGTCTGACCTTGCACACACATGCATGCACACGTATGCACACACATGCATGCATAGTTGTGCACACACAGACATAGGTGCATGGGTGTACATGCACACACACTGCAGGTACAGGACAGAGGCTCTAACATTGTGTGTTGCATGAATAAATGAATATTCCTTATATATAAATATTTTTTACAAAAGGGAGGCTCAAAGAGAAAACAAGTGAGGTTCCCTGAACATCTTGGAGTTCAAATAAGACATGAGGTCTCAACGGTGAACTTAGCTCTGCCATCTACCTCTTTCCCATGATAATAATAGACATTCAAAAAGATGTGGACAAGTAGTAGCAAAATGCAGCATTTTTAGATGCACTAAAAAAATACAGATTTGATAAAAAGAAAAATATCATTTGTGTAAGATGTCATACTTAGGGGACAGCCATCAAAACTCTACACGAAAATATCTTCTGGATCCATGCAATCTTTTTGAAAATGCAAAAAGTATAAAAAATAAATAAAATGCCTAGAAATTTAACCAAGGTTGTAAAAGTTCTGTACTCAGGAAATTATAAGACACTAAAGAAAGAAATTGAAGAAAATAAAAGTAAGTGGAAGCATATACTGTCCTCACGGATAGGAAGAATTAACATAATTAAAATGTCCATACTACCCAATACAATTTATAGATTGAATGCAATTCCTATCAAGATACCAATGGCATATTTCACAGAACTAGAATGAATATTCCAAAAATGTATATGGAACCACAAAAGAACCCAAATAGCCACAGTAATCTTGAGGAAGAAGAACAAAGTAGGAGGAATCATGCTATCTAAAATCAAACTAGACTACAAGGCAACAGTAATCAAAACAGCATGGTACTTGCATAAAAACAAACATATAGATCAATGGAACAGAATAGAGTCCAGAAATAAACCCAAGCCTTTATAGTCAATTAATACTTGACAAAGAAGGCAAGAACATATAATGGGGTAAAGGTAATCTATTGAATAAATGGTGTCGGGAAAATTGCACAGATACATGCAAAAAATGAAACTAGACCACCTTCTTACACCATATACAAGAATAAACACAAAGTGGATTAAAGACTTAAACTTTAGACTCTAAATCATAAAATCCTAGAAGAAAACATAGGCAGTAAAATCTTGGGCATTTCTTATAGCAGTATTTTTCTGATATAGCAAGGGAAACAAAAGAAAAAATAAACAAATGGGAATACATCAAACTAAAAAGTTTGTACATCAAAGGAAATCATCAACAAAATTAAAAGATAATCCACTGAATGGGAAAACATATTCACCAGTGATATATCTGGTAAGGGGTTAATATCCAAAATTTATAAGAACTTATAAAGCTCACCCAAAAACCCAAACAATATAATTAAAAAATGGGCAAAGGACCTGAGCAGACACTTCTCCAAAGAGAACATGCAAAGAGAACTCCAAAGAGAACAAAGAGATGGCCAATAGATATGAAAAGATTCTCAGTACTAATTATCAGAGAGATGCAAATTAAAACCACAATGAGCTATCACCAAACACCTGTCAGAATGGCTATCATCAACAAATCAACAAACAAGTGTTAGCCAGATGTGGCAAAAAGGGAACCCTCATACACTGTTGGTGGGAATGCAGTTTGGTGCAGCCACTGTGGAAAGCAGTGTGGAGTTAACCTCAAAAAATCAAAAATGGAACTGCCTCATGACTCAGCAATCCACTTCTGGGAATATAGCCAAAGAAGCCCAAAACACTAATTCAAAAGAATATATGCACCCCTATGTTCATTACAGCATCATTTACAAGAGTCGAGATTTGGAATCAGCCCAAGTGCCCATCAGTATATGAGGGGATAAAAAAGCTGTAGTACATTTACAGGACGCAATACTCAGCCATAAAAAAGAAGGAAATCTAATCTTTTTGTGACAGCATAGATGGACCTGGAGAGTATTATGCTTAGTGAAATAAGCCAGTTAGAGAAAGACAAATACCATATGATTTCACTTATATGTGGAACTAATGAAAAAACGTAAACTAACAAACAAAATAACATCAGACTCATAGATACAGAGAAAAGACTGAGAGTTGTCAGAGGGCAGGGGGTTGGGAGACTGGGTGAAAAAGAAAAGGGATTCAGCAAAAAGAAACAAAAAACCCTCATAGGCACAGACAACAGTATGGTCATTACCAGAAGGAAAGGGGGGTGGGAGGAGGTAGGAGAGGGTAAAAGGGACATAAATGATGACCAAAGGAGACTTGACTTGGGGTGATGAACATGCAATAAAACATACAGATGATCTGTTATAGAATTGTACACCTGAAACCTGTATTATTTTATTAACCAATGTCATCCCAATAAATTCAATTAAAAAGTGCCAAGTTCTTCTAAGTTTCCTCCCAAGTGGATAAGGAGGTTATAGAGAAATGGAATAAGGGGAAAGTTTTTTATGTTTGTTTTTGTATTCATTGAGTTTGACCTTCTAAATCCTAAAATCCTACTTTTTTTTTTCAATTACAGTAGATATACAATATTATATTACTTTTATGTGTACAGCATAGTGGTTAGATATTTATATAACTTAAGAGGTTATTCCTTTGTTTGTTAAGAGGTGATGCCCCCCCAATAAGCTTAATACCAATCTGGGATCATACATAGGTGTTACAAAATTATTGACTGTATTCCTGTATTTTGTTGTTACAAAATGTATTGACTGGATAAACTATGCTATTGTTTATATCCATATAATTGTTTTTATAAAAGGCAATTGTTTTTTATTAAATTTATTTGGGTGACACTGGTTTACACAGTCCTGTAGGTTTCGGGTATACATTTCTATGATATACGATCTGTATATTACATTGTGTGCCCACCTCCCAAAGTCAAATCATCTTCTGTCACCATATATTTGGCCCGCTTTACCCTTTACTGCCCTCAACCCCTTTCCCTCTAGTAACCACCATAATGTTGTCTGTCTTCGTCTATGAATTTGAATGTTATATCCCATTACGAGTTAAATCATATGGTTCTTAGCTTTTTCTGACTTGCTTCACTTAGGATACTATTCTCAAGGCCCATCCATGTTGTCACAAATGGCAGTATTTCATCTTTTCTTACGGCTGACTAGTATTCCATATACATGTACCACATCTTTATCCAATCATCTATCAAAGGACACTTTGGTTGTCTTCATGTCTTGACCACTGTGAATAATGCTGCAATGAATACAGCAATGCATATATCTTTGTGAATAAGTGATTTTTAGTTTTTCAGGTAGATATACAGAAGAGGGATTGCTGGGTCATATGTCTTTGTTCTTAATTTTTTGAGGAACCTCCATACTGTTTTCCATAGTGGCTGTATCAGTTTACATTCCCACCAGCACTTAATAAGGGTTTCTTTCTTTCCACAACTTTTCCTACAACTTCTTATTACCCATTTTCTTGAAAATACGTATTCTAACAGGTAAGAGATGGTATCTCATTGTCGTTTTGATTTGCATTTCCCTAATAGCTATTGAAGTGGAACATCTCTTCATAGATCTGTTGGCTGGATTTGTATGTCTTCTTTGGAGAAGTGTCTGCTTAGGTCTTCTGCCCATTTTTTAACTGGATTATTTGTTTCATGTTGATTTGTATACTGAGTTCTTTATATATTTCGGATTTTAATTCCTTTGTTGGAGCTGTTGTTAGCAATAGCACCTCCCATTATAACTGGCAATTTGTACTTCTTAATCCCTTCATCTTTTTCATCAGTCCCCCAACCTCCCTTCCATCTGGTGACCACCAATTTGTTCTCTACATCTGAGTTTGTTTCTGTTTTGTTTACTTGTTTGTTTTTAGATTCCACATGTAAGTAAAATCATATAACATTTATCTTTCTCTGTCTGACTTATTTCACTTAGCATAATGTGCTTGAGGTTCATCCATGTTGTTGCAAATGGCAAGATTTCCTTCTTTTTATGGCTCAATACTATTCCATTGTGTATACACACCACATTTTCTTTATCCACTCATTTGTTGATGGACATTTAGGTTGTTTCCATATCTTGGCTATTACAAATAATGCTGCAATGATCACGCAGGGGCATGAGTCTTTCGGGGTTAATATTTTTGGGGTTGTTGGGGTTTTTTTGATAAATACCAAAAAGCAGGATTGTTCGGTCATAAAGTAATTCTACTTTTAGTTTTTTGAGGAACCTCCATATTGTTTTCCATAGCGTCTGCACCAATTTACAAACCCAGCATCAGTGCATAAGGGTTCCTTTGGAGAAAAATACTTTAAAGAAGTCAAGCAGCAAATGGCCCAGAGTCATTGAAGTCATCTCCCAGATAATAGATTCAAATCATAATCATAAAATGTCATTAAAGTGAGGTTTTTAAAAATCAGATCACCAGCTTGTCACTATGTAGAGATAAATTTGAAGGGCCAAAATAGGAGGATATGAGAGGGTACAGGGCTAGTCAATTTTGTAGTCCCACTGCTTAAAAATATTTGAAAAATCCTGCTTCCTGATTTCTGACTTAAAATAGTTTCATACCCCTAGTAAAACATAAAAATTTGTTCACGCCAGTGTTCACCGTGTGATCCTAAGGAGAGGTTCTCTCCACCCACCACAGCCAAACTCAGA